CCCCTAAAGTTCAAAAAGAAAGACATTATATGTGTCACATAACTTTTTTGAAATATTTACTGATTACCACATTCAAACTCCAATTCATATTTACTGTAAATACAATTCTAAAACTAAGATTCAAAAAAAAAAAAAAAAAAAAAACCAAAATATCAGATTTACAAACTCATGACAAATCATATCAAAAATCACAAAATAAGACAAAAATCCAGAAAACAAACTCGGTTTTAACACTCACAACCACTTCTCTCCCGCATGACTTCAACAAACAAAGGAATGGACACCGTCGGCAATGTCAACGTCGCCGTAGCAGAATGAACTAGCGAAGAATCTTCGGTTTGATGATGAAACAGCTTCATCTCTGCCAGTAGATACCATTTTCTTTTCTCTTTTTCTTCTGCTTCTTTGTCAAAAGTTTGAAATTACAAGATCTACAAGTTGATTGAGTAAAAGGCCCAATTATTTTTGAGATTCTATATATGGCATGCCATTTTCCACTTTAACTTTGGACTAGACCTTTTACTGACTTAACATAACCAACGACACTCTAGAGTTGAATCTGTAGAATTAAGATGTAGTTTAAGAGCTTGTTTGGTAGGAGGGAGAGGCGCGAGGGGATTAGTAGAAGAATCTTGGTGCGAATAATTGTTTGGTAGGACAAAAAAGAGGAGGTTATAGATTGAGCGATGGATTTTAAAGTATTCAAAAAGCCCCAATATAAAGGTTTAGAGGAATGATCCATACCAAATACAATAAGATAAAGAGTCCTCTTTTTGTACTTTTTTCTTGCTTATTTATCACTCGTTCCTTCTTACCAAATTTAGATTAAACATCCAGCATCCGATTGAACAACATAGACGCAACCGAAACTAGTAAGAATCCCATGTAGCTGTCTCTTCCAAAAAAAAAAAAAAAAAATGTGGCTGCAAGTGTACATGTACATAAATGTCTATGGAACTATATTGTATATGGAGATAAGCTAGTCTTGGAACCAATTTTGGCTTCTGGCATTTTCTTTTTCTTTTGAATTGTGGTTAATTTCCAAGCTGCTTAGTCTAAATGAACACCACAACATCAAGTTGCGTGCAAACCAGGCCAGAACAATCTAATTTGAAAACGACTGAGATCAAATACTGAAGACAATAACTGAGAGTACTATAGAAACAAAAACAGATTTCAAACAACATTCCAATTTATTTGTCCCGTAAAACAAATTGATAAGGAAATCACTGTGTATGAAAATCGTCACATTTTATTATTGAATATGTTGAGTAAAGGAAATCATTCTTCTCTGCCTTGGCTTTGTCAACTTCAAAGCCTGAAATGATCCAAGGCAGAAGTTTCATCGAGGCCTTTTTTATTGAAATAGGCAACATAGTCCCTCATTGTGGTTTCCCTGTACTTTGGAGGATTGTCTTCTGATAATAACTCCTTAATGGGTCCATACAATTTTGTTGTTGGCAGCAAGTTAGTACTGAAAAAGCTTGCAACAGATATTCTTGGACCCACGCGGCTCGCCAGTACTCTATGCTCGATGCTCTTGAATTTGTCGTTTGATATGAGCTGAAAAAAAATGAAAAAAAAATAAATACAAATTTAAAATTAAGTTTCATATAGGTATGCCATGACTTTTTTCAAAGTTTCATCTTATTGAAGAAAAGGATAAACCAGTTACCAAATTCACTGAGCCCCCTGAGCCAAACATACAATAAAACTTGCGGATTATAACACAACTTTTGAGATACTCTAGGGACAAACCAAAACAATTAGTCCTGACCTTAAAATTAGTAAAAACAAAAGAATAAAGCAAATCAAAAACACTTGCCTGCAGAAGATCTCCAATGTTCACCACTAGAGCTCCGGGCTGAGGTGGTACGTCAATCCAGTCATTGTCATGTAGAACTTGGAGACCACCAATGTGATCCTGAAGAAGCACCGTGACGAAGTCATTGTCAGCGTGCTTGGTCGTGCCTAAAGTTAACTCTGGCTGCGGGCATGCGGGATAGTAATGGCCTAAAATCATTAGGCCCTCGGCGCAACCTATGGCATTCAAGTAATTTGGATTCAACCCTAGAGCCTCCGTGAGCAACTCAAACACCAAAGTTCCCACTTTCATTACTTGCTTTGAGTACTCTATCAATATGTCTCTGCTAGTTGAAACATTATGAGTGACGGGTAATACTTCATTGAACTACTAACTATATATATATATATATATATATATATATATATATATATATATATATTTATTTGATTTGATACAGCATACAAATGCATAGTTGTGAAGATCGCTCTTTTTTCCCCATTATTTTGGCTGTGCTTATTAGTATTAATTAGTAGAGTAGGTTTCTTCTTTTATTATACACAAAGAAAATAAATACGAGAACCTACTAGTTGTTCTTGATGCTAGTATTCTTTTTCATTGCTTGCACACATGTAAATCAGAGAGAAATTAGAATTCTTGTCCTGTTATTTTAAATTTAGGACTGGTCATTTGAGTCATAATTATTTGATCAACTTTACTCCGTACACCAAATTATGAGCTACATACCTGCATATTATTGGCATCTCTTCAAGGTTTGGAGCATTAGGAGCCATAGTACAAACAAACGAATCCCTCCAATTCGTTGAAATCCCACTATATAGATCAAAGTTGCTGTTGTAGATCACTGCCCTCGTAAGATCTCGCGTAAAAAATGTTTTCTTCGCCTCAGTTTCTTGCTCGTGAAACCGACGAACCCCGTCTATCATATCCTCAAGAACACTCTCAGGGATTCCATGGTTGACAATTTGGAAGAAACCCCATGTCTCAGATGCCTCTCGTACTCTCTCAACAATCTCCTTTCGCGCTTGAACCGCATCGTTACTAATTAGTCCTCCGAGGTCTATGACAGGAATATTTGACTTGGTATGATCTCCAGAAACTGAGTTCTGCTTCAAATTATGATCAGATGGGTGATAGAATATACGAGGAATCTCTGTAATCCCAGAATCAACAAGTCCTTTGACACCAGCCTTGGTTTTGTCAAAAGCTTTTAGCTCACCGAGTCTATCGCCTTTTGCCTTGTATGAGGATGAAACAGCTTCATCTCTGCCAGTAGCTGCCATTTTCTTCTCTCTTTTTTCTCCTTCTTTCTTTGCAATATAGAATTTGAAGTTCTAGTTAGGTGTGATATTTGAAATGCAAGCCACCATATACATACATGCATACGTACATATACAATATATATATATATATGTATGTATATGTATGTATGTATGTATGTAACTTTGAGAAAGGCGATCTATTTTGTGGCGCAGAAAATGACAAAGACAAGGCAAAGTTTGAAATGACTACATCTACAAGTTGTCAGATAGGCTTGATTGAGTAAGGCCCAATTACTTTTGAGATTCTGTATACGGCATGTCATTTTCGACTTTAATTTTTTGCTAGACTTTATCCAAGTTAATATAACCAATGACATTACAAGGCATGAGTTTAAGAGCTTGTTTGGTAGCAGAGCGCGGGATGAGGGGATTAGTAAAAGGATTCTGGCACCGATAGTTGTTTGATAGGACAAAAAGAGGAGGTAATGGATTGAGCGAGGGATTCCAAATCCTTGTTACCAAACACAATAAGAAAAAAGTCCTCTTTTTGTACATTTCCCTCGCTTAGACTGTATTCTCACCTTATTTTTCTTTCTTTCTTACAAAATATAGCTTAAATATCTATATCTATTAATTTCAGCATCCAATTGAACATCATCACGCAAGCGACACTAGTAACAATTTCATGTAGCTGTCTATTCCAGGAAAAGAAAAAAAAATTTGTGGTTGCAAGTACATATACATAAATATCCATCGATCTATATATATATATATATATATATGTCCACTATGTAGTCCCCACTACTATTGTTAGTGAATTATTGTAGAAACCAAAGGAAGAAATTCTAAATATGTGGAGATGAGCTAGTCTTGGAACCAATTTAATTTGGTTTCTAGCAAATTAAGATCAAGTTGCGTGCACACCAGACCAGGACATTCTAATTTGAAAACGACTGAGATCAAATACTGAAGACCATATACGAAACAAAACAAATTTCAAAAAAATATACCAATTAAATTGTTCTGCAAAACAAATTTCAGAGATAATAATTATTTTGATCATGTAGAAGTCAGGTAGCAGTCATAGTCTTTGATAAATCTATATTTTTATCTCTAATATTAAGGTTTAAAGATTGAATCCGCTGACGCAATTTAAAAAATTAAAAATTAAAAAAAAAAGTTGGCTTTGCAAGATTAGAAACCGCCAATAGAAATCAAATCAGGTGGTTGTTACTAGTGTTTTCCCCCAATCAAAATACGTATTGCATTATTCTGTTCCAAACTAGGCTGCTTGAATTTCCAAACATGAAGCAAAACTGATGTTCCTCCAAATTACAGTCAAATAATTGGAGCTAATTAAGTGCTGTAAGGGATAATTTGGATCAATGGCATGAAACATGAGCCAAAGCTCACAGCCTAAAACGTTGTAGGGGACTATCGATGCCGTGTGTTGCAAGGTACGAAACATATTCATGAACTGTCGTTTCTCTGTAGATTGGAGGATTGTCTTCTGACAATAGCTCCTTAATTGGTCCGTACAGTCTTGAAGATGGCTGAAAACTGGTGCTGAAAAAGCATGCCACTGATATTCTTGGTCCTACATGGTTCGCCAGCACTCTGTGTTCTACGCTTTTAAACTTGTCGTTCGATATAAGCTGCAACATTTCAATCCCACAAAGAAAATGTAACATGTGAATCTTGATAACCAGTACCAAGCTCTCATATAAAACTGTGCTTGTGTTCATGTTTAACAATTTGTGGGCTCTAAAATTGATATGAAAAGTTATGGTTGATTAAAAACCATTATAATAAATGCCACAAAATCGTCTGTGGAGATGCAAAGGAGAAAAGGATTCCTTAATCTAAACTGATACATAGAAACTACCACTTGTAGGGTGGTGCAGCGATAAAGATGCCTTTCTTTCTTCTCTTCTCAGGATGCGTTCAGGTTTGATACTCGGTAGCTTGAATCAGAAATCCTACTCGGCCAATGGGTTGTGGGGTGTTGGACTTGTGGTAGTATGATTACTAAAACCGGCCCCATCCTCTCTAAGTAGAATTGGGTTAAACTCTTTACGCTTCAATGGTGGGCCCAGGTTATTATATAGACTATTTGAACAATAGGCACATTGGTTCCATTGATCCCGTTCTTATTTTATTAAAAGAAATGATATGTAAAAACTATCTTTGTCCAAAAACGAAAAAGAATGTTGTTCTCCTACTTTCTAAAGAACACAAATTAACAAGTTCATAGTCCAACCAAATCAAAGAAAAATACTTGCCTGCAGAAGATCTCCAATGTTGACCACTAAAGCTCCGGGAACCGGTGGAACATCGTACCACTGATTGTCATGCAAGACTTGGAGGCCTCCAATGTGGTCTTGTAGAAGCACAGTGAGGAAGTCATTATCAGAGTGATTGCTAATTCCCATGGTTAGCTCCGGCTCAGGACAGGGTGGATAGTAATGGCTTATAAATGCAAGTCCCTCAGATTTATTTATTTCTAAATTTAACTTTTCTGCTTTATATCCCGGGAGTGACATTATTTCTGACGGTGTCAACTCCTTAGCTCACACACTCTATATCATTTAGGTGGTTTGAGTCTAACCCCAGAGCCTCGGACAACAACTCAAACAAAGAAATGCCTAATTTCATCACTTCCTTTGAGTACAGTATCATCTCATTCCTAGAATTTCAACAAATCAATCACAAAATGAGCTGCAAAGCAATTCTACTTCAAGGAAAGAGAACAATGAGTGACATACTCACACATGATCATGTATTTCGATCTGCAATAAGGATTCGTAATTGTGAGGAAAATAGACAACAACTTGAATGAAGAACAAACTAATCTCGTCACTTTATTCGAGGAAAATGTCATCATATTTCTTGAACACCAATGAATGGATCATATAAATGAACATGAATGATATCTTAATTTATATCTGGAGTCACATTTTTAGAGGGCACGTGATCCCATTGAGATTTTAAACTTTCTTCTAGTTACATGTAAATTTTTAACTAAGTCTAATTCTGTCTCCACTCAATTAAGAAAATCACAAATATACCCTCCCTCAATTAAAAGGAAATGATAGTTATGCCCCTATTTAATAACAGAAAATTCTTACTTTATCCTCCACTTATCTCTTTTATGTTTCACATTTGTACCCCCACTGAATATATATATATATATATATTAAGAAAATCACAAATATACCCTCCCTCAATTAAAAGGAAATGATAGTTATGCCCCTATTTAATAACAGAAAATTCTTACTTTATCCTCCACTTATCTCTTTTATGTTTCACATTTGTACCCCCACTGAATATATATATATATATAT